CCTCCTCTTCTCAACTCTCTCCCCCCATCTGCCTGCTGCCTACCTTTCTCACTACCTCCCCTCTTTTTTCCTTCATCTTTCAAAAAATGTAAAATTTATTTTCACTCACCTGAAGGCAGAGAGAGCTTCCCTCTGCTGGCTCACTCACCAAATACCCACCGTAGCCAGGGCAGGGCCAGGCTGCAGCCAGGAGCCCAGAATTTCATCCCATGGGGTGACAGGGAACCAAAGAGGGTGCCGACACCTGCATCTCCCAGACGCACGGCCACAGGAAGTGGGTCTGGAGCAGAGGAGGCAGGACGTGAACCAGGAACTCCGCTATTGGACGCTGGTGCCCTGGGTGGCATCGTAACTGATGTGCCAGTGCCTGTCCTACCGTCTTTCTATTGGGCTCTCCACTCTCTGTGTTCCCCAGTTCCTCACCCATCCATCCATTCACATACTCATCAACTGATCATTCCTGGATGATGTGGCCAACCCAAGAGGGATTGTAATGGGACGGTGGCTCTGAAGGTCCTTCTGCCTTGAGCCCAAAAAGACAGCCAGGGCCCCAGTGGGACTGCACGAGGCCATGTGGATAATGGCAGATGACACCTTCTTTGGAGTTGGGGAGGATCGAACCCCTCTGTGACTGTGGGTTACCCCTGTCAGGCCAAGCAACACCAAAGCCAGCCCTGGGTTTTTCTGGGGCAGGAGCTCCCCACGAGTCCCCTAGATCGCATGGTGTTTGGGACCCTGTCTGGGCTCAGGCATTGTCTTACTTGTCTCTCTCTCCTGAGCCCCATCCTGGGCCCCGCCCTCCTGGGGGTGTGGTCTGTGGGTGCAAAGTTGAGCAAATACACACGGCCAGGCCCAGAGGGAATGGGCAGGGGGAGCAGGGCTGTGTTATCACCGTGTGAAGTTTTTCACAGCTGCTCCACCTGTGACCACAGCGGCCCAGACAGACCTGTGTCTGGAGCAGCAGATGTTGCTGTCTGCCCCACGCCTGATCTTCCACCGCTGGGGCCCTAAGCATTGCCCTCCTCCTGGGCTTGCGACACAGGGGAGCCCCAGCGAAGGCTGTGCACGGCCAGGGACACTTGCGGGAAGAAGCCTGGCACACAGAGCAGGGTGGGGAGGGCGGCGGGGAGTCTCGGCGGCTGCCCGCCTCATTCAGAACCAGTCCTCGAGCCCCTCCAACCCGGGCCAGACGCTGTCTCCAGCAGCAGCCAGGGAGGAGCCGAGTCTGATCTACGAATCCATCGGAATCACACTCACTGCACTCAGACCAGGCACGCACTTCCCGTGGCGCAGGGATGGCCGCACGCGTTGTTCCGGCTGCAGATCCACTCTGACCCACCTGGCTCTGCACATCCACCTCCACCATCCCAGGCCACGCCCCTCCCTCCCCCACTCCTCGTGAACCCAGGCTCTGCCCAGGTGGCCAAACTCAGCTGCTCCCTCTCACTGTCACCCCTCCATCCTCCCTGCAGTGCCCAGGAAGAGAATTTGGAAAATGTAAACGAGACCCCAGCTCCTTCTCGGCTTAGGTTCCCCACCGTCATCGCCCAGGCTGAAGCCCAGGGCTGTCTCCTTGTGCTTAGAGCGCACAGAGTGGCCTTGGTGCAGCGGCTAAGCTGCTTCCACTGATGCATCTCACACTGGAGAACCGGTGTGCAGGGACGGCGCATTCCACCAGGCGTTCCACTGCTGTGACGGAATCCCTTGTTAATAAGCCCTCTGGCTAAACCAGTCAGGGCATAGTCACCAGTTCCTTCACCAGTGCTGTGGAGTAGAGGGCTAGGTCTCCACCTGCGGTGCTGGCATCCCATAAAGTGTCGGCTCGCACGTCCTCTGCTGCTGTTCTAATTCAGCTCTCTGCTTATGGCTTGGGGGGAGGGGGCAGTGGAGGATGGGTCAAGTCTTTGAGCCCCTGCACCCCATGGGAGACCCCAAAGAAGTTCCTGGTTCCTGGCTTTGGATCAGCTCAGCTCCGGCCATTGTGATCAATTGGGGAGTGAACCAGTGGATGGAAGACACTCTCTCTCTCTCTCTCTCCCCCTCCCTCCCTTTCCCCCTCCCTTTTTCTCTCCCTCTCCCTATCTCATTCTCCCTCTCTCTCTCTCCATCTGCAACTCTACCTCTCAAATAAATAAAATCTAAAAAAGAAAAAAGCACCTGCCACATTACACTTCTTTGCCGGAATCTCCCCGGGGCTTGATTTCACTGGGTAACTGGTGCTGAGGTCTCTGCCGTGAGCGTGGCCCTGCGGGTGAAAACACAGCTCCTGCCCTCACTCCCCAGCCACACTGCCGTCTCCCACCTTCATGGGGTTTGCAGAACCCGGAGCAAGGAGGCATCAGAGTTCCCTGCAGGACCCCACAGCTGTCTGCGCTCCATCAGGACGGTGTGTGCGGGCCAGGGGGAGAGTTCCCGGGGGCTGTGCCCGCCATGCTGACGGCGACTGCTGGGCGATCGTGGCCCAGCAGCCCCAGGGCTGGCCGCTGCAGGGCCTCCCTGTCTGTCTCCCTTCACACTGCGCTGCCCACCTGTCTGTGGTCCAGAAAATACATCTCCACGTTGCGTTTTTATTCTTTAATCAGGAGTGGGAGTGTTTATCCTAGCAGATAGGACATTGCAGTTGCTGGTTGGATTCTCAGTTCTGGATCCTCACTAGCCCCTGGCCAGGCAGGAGATCCCGGGTGGCAGGAGCGATGGATCAAATGATTGGGTTCTTGCCACCCATGTGGGAGAGCGGGCTTGCATCCCTGGATGCTGGCTCCAGCCCCAGCCCAGCCTTGGTCATGTGGGTGTTTGGGGAATGAACTAGTGAATGGGAGATAGCGCTTTCTCTCTCTCTCTCTCTGCCTGTGCCTTTCAATTTAAAAAAGTGTGTGGGTGGCGATTTAGTGAAACAGTGAAGACGCTCTTTGAGGGGCTGGCACTATGGCACAGCAGGTAACGCTATAGCCTGTGGTGCCAGCATCCCACATGGGCTCTGATTTGAGTTCTGGCTGCCCCACTTCTGAACCTGAGCCTGCTACTGCTCCTGGGAAGGCAGAGGAAGAGGTCCCTGGGCCCCTGTCACCCACATGGGACCCGGAAGCAGCTCCTGGATCCTGGCTTGCAACCGGCCTAGCCCTGGTCATTTGCAGCCACTCGGGGAGTGAGACAGCAGATGGACGTCAGCTGTGAGTCCAGCAGCAGGAGTCACCTCTGCGTTGACCTCAGCCCCCTCCCCCTCCACGTGGACTGCGGAGCTCTACCCCTCTTTTTTTATGACAAGCCCCGCCCTCTAGAACCTGCACCTGCTGTCGCTTCCTCCTGCAGTGTGTTTCAGTCAGGATTTCCCTCGGCTGGATTATTTTTAAAATATTTTCTGGCCCGTTGGTGGCATAGCAGGTTATGGGACCAACTGAAATTCTAGCATCCAATATCCAAGTGCCGTTATCAGTCTGGGCTGTTCCACATCCAATCCATCAGCCTGTTTATTTGCTTGGGATTACTGTGGATGATATCCCAGGGGCTGGGGCCCCTGCCCAGGAGACCTAGATGGACTTCTTGGCTCCTGCCTTTGTCATGGGCCAGTCCCAGAAAATGAAGCCATTTTTGGGGTGACCCAGCACATGGAAGAATTCTCTCTCTGTCACTCTGCCTTTCAAATAAACAAAATAAATGTTTCTTAAAAGATCAATTAATTTATTTGAAAGGTAGAGTGGGAAAGAGAGAGAGAGATCTTCCATCTTCTGATTCACTCCCAAATGGCTGCAACAACCAGGATTAGACGAGCTTGAAGTCCGGAGCCAGGAACTCCTTCCAGGTCTCCCGCATGTGTGCAAGGCCCCAGCTCTTGGGCCATCCTCAGCTGCCTTCCCAGACGTATTCGCAGAACTGGACTGGAAGCAGAGAAGCTAGGCCTCAAGCCACGACTCTTATGGGATGCCGGCGTTGCAGGCCGTAACTTAAATTCTGCGGCACAGCACTGGCCCCAAATAAAACTTTAACAAAATTTTATTTTCATTTTATTTGAAAAGCAAATAGAGAAGGAGCTGTTGCACTGACTGGTTCATTCCCCAAATGCCGGCTACAGCTGGGACGGAGCCAGAACCAAAGCCCGAGCCAGGGACGCAGTAGCAGTCTGTGGGTGGCAGGGACCCAAGTCCTCGAGCCCTCGTCTGCTGGCTGCTAAGGTGTGCGCTAGCAGGAAGCTGGGTCAGGAGCAGAGTTGGGGCCCACACACAGGCACTCTTGTTTGGAGCAGGGTTGTTGCAAGTGGCACCTTTACTATGCCAAGCACCTGCCCCTCCCATAGCTGGCTTTGCCTCTCCTTTAGGACTCAACCAAATCCTGAACCCCCAGCCCCAAGGGCACTTTCCCTCGCCTCCCCTCTGAATGACCACCCACTCCCACCTGGGCTCCCACACTTCCTCTGCTCCACAGCCTTGCCCTTGGGGTGCCCACAGCCTTTGCAGATCAGGGTTGATCTGAGGTTGTCTCCCCCGTGGCACTCGGCCTGCAGAAGGAGGAGGACGGCGCTGTGTCAGCCGCAGCCCCCGAGCAGGGCCTGCTCTGCGTACAGCAGGTGCTCAACCAGATCTCGTCCTTGAGGTGGACACGAATACCGACCCCGGGTTAGGGTTGGAAAACTGAGCCGCAAAGAAGAGAAGCCAGGTGCCAAGGTCTCAGAGCTGGGAGGTGGCACGGGCAGGGTGGGAATCCAGGTTGAGGGGTTCCAGCGCCCGTGTTCCTTCCCGTAAGAGGTGGCTTGTTCTGACGCCAACTTTGCAATCTGGTGGCTGATTGATAACAGGGCACCAGGTGTCACCTGTGGAGTCACTTCATTCAGGGGACCCTAGGTCTTTCTGTTGACTCTCAACTCCTCCATCTGCAGGGGGTGGGGGGCTGTGACCTTGGACATGGGAGAGACCTGGTGTACCACCACCTGTGCTGGGAAGGGGGCCCTGCTTGTCCTATATTAGAGCCCAAGCTCGGTGTCTCCTCCTGTTATCGCTAAGCTCACGATGCTCCGGCTGCTGAGTTCCCTCCTGCTGGTGGCCCTTGGTAAGAACCCAGCCCGCGTCTGTGCCCTGTGCTGCCTGGGCCAGGAGCCCTGAGATCTGCTCCCCACCCTGGTCCCGTGGTCCCAGCCCCTGCTCCACAGGAGGGGTCTCAGCTCGTCCCTGGGGCACCACAGTGGGGGCTTCAGCTTGGTGCTGGGGAGGAGGGGGGAGGGGAGCAGGGGATGGAGCAGCTCAGGAGGACTGGGAGCAGCACCCAGGGCTGGGCGGGCGTCCCTGGTGGGGGCAGTGAACACAGCCGGGTGGTGAAGAGTCGGGCTCTGTGCTCAGACTGCGTGGGGTGGGATTCCCACTCCCTGCTGGACGCTCCAGTTCTCTAATTCCCCACTCACACACCCCCCACCCGCCCCATGGCCTGTGGCACAGCCTTTCCTGGTCTCTCTGCTGCATGACATTGGAGCTCAGGGCCACCTCCTCCGAGCAGCCTCCCTGACTGGCAGTCATGGTACAGACGTTTACTGAGTGTTGACTGTGCCAGCCAGAATGCTAAGACTTTGTCTGCTATGATCTCTTGTAATTTTCATTCCAGCTCCATGTGGTCAGTACTATTGTCCCCATAATACAGATGTGCAAACTGACCTTCAGAGAAGTAAAGTAGCTCATCCCAGAACGAGGGGCCATGCTGTGCTTTGAACCCAGGAAGTTTTATTTCAAAGCCTACACTGTTTTTAAAAATTTACATATGTATTTTATTTCAGAGGTGGAGAGAGCCAGATAGACAGATTGACAGATCTCTCCCATCCTCTGGTTCACTCTGCAAATGCCTGGCTCTGGCCAGCAGCCAGTGGGTGGCAGGGACCCGAGTCCTTAGGCTGTCACTGCTGCCTGCTGGGGTGTCAAGAGCAGGGAGCTGGAATTGGAAACAGAGCCAAACTCAAACCCAGGCACTTCGAAACGGGACCTGGGTGTTTCGTGGGGTTCATAACCACAGCACCAAATGCCCTCGCCAAAGCCTGCACTCTGGGGACAGCAGCCATCACCTTGACGAGGCTCATTGTCACCAGGCACTGTTAGTGACAGCCTCCTGAGTGCTCCCACTGGCGAGGCTGCGGGTTTTCTCCATCCCGGGACCCCTGCCGCGGTGCCAGTGCTCTCTGCTCGTGGGCGCCCCCTGAAGGCGCAGAGAGGGAGCGGCCGACACAGGCTCACCGGCAGCTTTGTGGCACAGCGCTTTCCCGCTGGGGACCCTGGGTGGCTGATGCCCCTCCTCTCTCTCCTCTCCAGCCTCGGGCTCTGGCCAACCTTGCCCCACCTCCAGCCGCGTGGTCAACGGTGAGGACGCGGTCCCCTACAGCTGGCCCTGGCAGGTGAGAGCGGCGCCAGCGGCTCTGATTCCCGCTGGATGCCGGGTTCTGACCCCGCGGCCCCCTTCCTGTCCCCACCGCAGCTGCCCAGGGCCAGGAGCCCTGGAACTGCCTGCTTCCCACGGAGGTTTTTTCTACTACCCTCACTGGGCTGCTTGCAAATTAAAAGCAGGATCTAGGGCTAGGGGAAGGCTTCACTGAGCTGCAGTGAGAGAGGAAGCCAGGCACTGCGTCAGGGAGGCATAGTCTGGGCAGTGATTTCCAGAGCCTTGGGTCACAGGACAGGGCCCTGAGGTCGGGAGCAGCAGGGAGTGAGGAGTCTCACCAGGGCCAAGGAGGCAGCACCAAGGGTGAGGGCGAAGGCGAGGGCGAGGGGGGCGGGGCCGGGGGCGGGGCCAGGGGGCCAGGGCGAGAGCCAGGGTGAAGCTAGCTGTGCTGGGCAGATAGAAATACAGAACGTTTCCAATTTTAAATTTTTTATTTATATGAAAATCCTAGGTAAACAGAGAGAGGAAGAGACACGGAGATCATCCTTCCTCTGTTCACTCCCCAAACGGCCGCAATGGCCAGGGCAGGGCCAGCAGATGCGAGGAGTCAGGAGTTTCTCCTGGATCTCCTATGTGGGTGCCGGGGCCCAAGCTCTTGGGATCAGAAGTGGAGCAGCCGGGACAGAAGCCAACGCCCATATGGGATGCTGGTGTGGCAGGGCAGCTGAACCCACAACAGCACAGCACAGACCCAGAGAGAGAACAGTTCCAGAACCTTCTGTGGGCAGGGTCAGCAGGCGTGTTCTGTGAGGGGGCAGAGAGCAGGTGCTGCAGTCTTGTGGGCCACGTGGTTTCTCCAGCAGGGACTCAGCCCCGCCATCGCAGCAGGAAAGCAGCCAGAGACCGCCCGTGTGTGTGCGAGCGGCCTGTGTGCGTGAATGCTTACGTCCAGCACAGACCATGGGCGCACTGGGCCGGGGGCCATAGCTGTCACCCTTGGTCTCCAGGGAGATCGGGAAACCCGGCATGTGCAGGAAAACCTGAATGTGAAGGGAGGAGAGGACTCGGGGGAGTGGAGCTTCAGGGGACCCGAGAGGCCTGCAGGGCTGGGGTGCAGAATGGGGGGTCTGAGAGGTCAGAGGGTCTTGGGGGCTCTCAGGGGACAGAAGGATTGGGGAGGCCCTAGAGAGCAGAGAACGTTGGAGTCTCCAGGAGATCACAGGGCCTGAGGTGGGGGACTGCAGAGCCACAGTGACCCCAGTGGAGAAGTGACAGGGCCACCATGAGCAGTGGTGCAGGTCGCACACTGCACATTGCAGAGCCAGCTCCTGTTTCCTGTGTCAATGGCGCCCTCTTGATTGTGCAGTGCACAACCTACACAGCTCACTCGCTGTGGCCTGGCCCTCTCAGCGTGTTTCTTTCTGGGTCTGCAGGCCATGGTGCTGTATGAGGAGGACGGGAACCTGTACTTCATCTGTGGCGGGACCCTCATCGACCCTGACTGGGTTATGACTGCCGGCCACTGCTTCCCGTGAGTTCCCCTGCTGCCCCCTGCCCTGCCCTGGTCCCTGTCCCTGTGGGAGACCCAGGCAGCCTGGGCCACTTGCTGGCTATGGGAAGTGGGCGTCAGGCCCAGACTGACCTCCCCTCCCCCTGGCAGCTACACCGGGACCTACTGGGTGCTGCTGGGTGAGCACGACATTACTGTCTCCGAGGGACCTGAGCAGTTCATCCCCGGGGAGAAGATCATCGTGCACCCAGACTATGATGACGACGCGTCCAAGGGGTGAGTGAGCTCCCAGCTGGGGCCTGCTCGTCCCTCTGTGACCCCCCAGCTGCATCTGGGGTGCTCCTAGGGACAACTGGGTGGGGTGGGCAGCCTGGGCCCAGCCCCCACACACTGAGACCCTCAGCACCACCTCCCTCCCAGCAGAGGGGACACCAGGGCCAGGGAGAGGCAGGAAGCCCCCCACGGCTGCTGGGCTCCGTGGCTCTGCAGCCCAGGACCCCTCAGGCACCACCCCAAGTCCAAGGTTTTCTGTGGTCAGCAGAGGTCCATCCGACACAGCTGAGTTCCTGGCCCTGGGGATGAAGGAGGAGCACTGGGTGGAGAGTCAGGCCCCGGCAGTCACTCCCTGAGTGGCCTGGGCGTCACGGCCCTGTCTGGGCCTCAGTTTCCCCTTGGTCAGAGGGTGACCTGCAGCAGGGCTTCCTGGTGGTGGAGACGCTCAGCCTCACCTGTGTGCTCACCTGTGTGTCCGCAAGGCTCAGCCTTTTCCGTGAGAGGAGCACAGGAGGGGGCGGAACCCTGGGAACCACAGTGCAGGAGGGAGGGGCCACTGTGATGGAGACCCCGGCCCGTCCTGGCGGGGCTCCTGGGGCCTAGGGAGACCAGGGAGACCCAGGCGAAATGTCCCGAGTGACAGCAGCAGAGCCGTGGTGCCCAAGGTGTGGTCTGAGGGGCAGCGGCACCAGCATTCCCTGGACCCTGTTAGAATGTCAGACCTCGGGCCTCAGAGAGAACATGGCCTCAGAAAGCCTGGAGTGCACTACAGAATTCTGTGTGATTTCAAGATTTTTATACTAATTTATTTTTATTTACTGAAAAGCAGGGAGGGGGAGAAGAGGGAGAGAGAGAGAATCTTGCATCTACTGGTACCTCCCCAGTGCCAGCAACAGTTAGGGCTGAGCCACGCAAACAGGAGGTGGGAACTCTGCCAGTCGCCCACGTGGCGGCTGAACTCCAAGCACCTGACCACTACCTGCTAACCCAGGGTGCGCGTGGGCAGGAGGCTGGAATGGAGCCGAGCCTGGATGGGAACCCAGGCACTGTGCGTGGGTGCAGCCGCTTAAGCCCTGTGCTGAGTGCCGCCCCACACTGTGCTCATGGCCCCCCAGGGCGTCCTGATGCAGCCAGTGTGAGGGGCACAGGTGGACACAGGACAACTATGAAGGCCAAGGGCTGGCGGGGCCAGGGGGCCGGGGCTGGGAAGTCTGCTCTGCCCTGAGAGTGGATTTTGGGGACAGTGGAGCCGTAGGGGAACCCCAGATGTGAACCCCAGGAGCAAAAGGCAAAGCAGGGACCTGGTGCAGTCAGAGCGCCAGGCTCTGCGTGACTCTTCCCTCCCACAGCAATGACATCGCCCTCATCAAGCTGTTACACAGCGCAGAGGTGACAGAGGAAGTCCAGCCCGCCTGCCTTGCCCCCCGTGACTACCTCCTGCCCCACGGGACGGAATGCTACATCACCGGCTGGGGCACCACCTCCAGTACGTGCTGACTGGGACAGGGGCAGAGAGGCAGGGCCTGGGGGCACAAAGGACCAAGGGTGGTGGAATGGAGGGAGGGATGTCCCCACCTGGCCAGGAGGGCTGTGTGTATCCGATGTCCCACCTCTCAGCGTAGCACTGCCCCAGCCCCCACTCATTGCTCTCTGTCCCCACAGCTGGAGGGTCAACCCCAAACATTCTACAGCAGGGGCTGCTGCCTGTGGTGGACTACGAACACTGCTCCAAGCCAGATTGGTGGGGCTCCACTGTGAAAGAGATCCATGTGTGTGCCGGTGGCGACGAAGTCGCTGGCTGTAATGTGAGTCAGCCCACACCTGTCCCAGCCCTGGGGCCCCTCTACCATCTCTGTGGAGGTGGGAGAAGGGTCTTTCCCGCTGCCTCCTGGTACCAACAGGACATGGGGGAATTCAGTGCCATGCAGACAGCCCTGACCCTGGACCCGGCCCCAGGCTCACCTGACCTGGGGCAGCCACCGTCCCTCCTGGTGCTAAGGCGGCCCCAGCAGCACAGCAGGGGGGCACTGGCCCAGGACCTCCCAAGTCACCCACGCTGTGTTCTGAAGGGACCCTGAGCCCCTGTGTCAGAGGCGCGCGTGAGCATCACGTCCATGAGTGACTGCGCCACTGGCAGTGGGAGCCGGCGTCTCCCGGGGCTTCCTCTCTGCAGGTGTGGGGCTGAGGTCAGCTCTATCCCAGCTCATCCCCAGCAGCTCCTGTGGGACAGACCCTGCTCCCAGCACAGAGGAGCCCCTGAGGCTCAGAGGTCAACACTGAGGGTGTGATTGCAGTCCCTAAGTTCAGGATCCATTCCTGACCCTCAGACGCAGCTCAGCCCTGTCCCCTCTGACTGCTGCAGGGTGACTCCGGGGGACCCCTCAACTGCCCCACAGAAGATAGCTCCTGGCAGGTGCACGGCTTGGCCAGTTTCGTCTCCTCCCGAGGCTGTGACACCCTCCAGAAGCCCACGGTGTTCACCCGAGTGTCGGCCTTCATTCCCTGGATCGAGGAGGTGAGGACAGGGCAGCCTGAGGGCTGCAGGGCGGGGGCTGTCCTGAGAGGGGCTGGGGCACAGGGAGGAGGGGCACATCCTGGGAGGGGCTGCAGGGGTCCCGGGAGGGCAGGGGGGTGGGGCCTTGGGGACATGGCAGAGGGCAGGGGATGAGCTCTGCCCTGCATGGTCCCAGGAATCAGCAGGCTCTGGGTGGAGTTTGCACCTCCTGACTCAGGAGGGCTTCTCAGGGGTGTGCTCTGGTCAGGTCCTTACTTGTCACAGAGCACAGAGGGCCACGGCGCCCCCTGCTGGGGGAGACGGGAAATGAGCCATAATGGTGAAGGCTGGGAGAGCCAGGGGAAGCTGAGCCCCTTGGTGTCATCTGGGGACAGCTGTTCAGAGAGGGTCGGTGTTGTCCATGGTGACCGCAGTGAGCACCGTATAGACTGGGTAGATGAGCACCAGGACTGGGCTGGGGCCTTGGTTATGGTTGAATCAGGACCCCACAGGCTGAGTGCTGGGATCACCACTCCCATTAGAGAGGGCAAGTCACTCCCCCAGGGCCACACGGAGCGTGAGTGGGGGCTGGGAACTGCCCCAGTTCCACGGACTCCACAACCTGTCATCCTCACTCCACTGTTCTGTCTTTTCCAGACCATTGCAAACAACTAGGACCAAGGCCTGGCTGCCCATGCTGACCCCACGTCCTGTGTAAAGAATAAAGAGCTCTCTCAAGTCCCGAGTGGATCTGTGTCTGTCAGTGACTTCCCCTTTCCGGGTCCTAAACCTGAGAGCTGATTTGTGGACGAGACCAGAGCCCCCTCTCCTGGGAGGACCAGGACCACACGAGGCCCTGGGAGAAGAAGGAGTCATGATATTGGGAGACTGACCCTCTTGGTGTGCCTGGGGCCAGGGGTTCTCAGACCCAGGACTTCCAGTGTGGAAACCGAGGCAGTCCCAGGACACAGGGCCGCGTGGGTCACCCCAGGAAAGAGCCCCACTAAGCAGTGGCTTCTCCACGCAGGAGAGAGACAGTCAGACCTGCGAGCACCTGAGCCTGTGCCCTCTCGGGAGGCTCGCGGTGGAGAGGAAACCAGGGGTTTCTGCCTCCGCTGTCTGGCAGGAGGAGGAGGGCTTGGTCATTCATTCATTTGGTATCATTCATTCCTGGTTTCCAAGCACGGCTGAAGCGGGGGGGGGGGGGGGGGCAGGCGGATGCTCCTCTGAAGTGTGTGCTCATTAAAGAGAAGCGGGAGAGTCGGAGGCATCCACGAAGCTCTGGCTTGAGTCTGCTGTGCAGGAGGAGCAACTCCGACACAGCCCAGCGCCTGAGGCTTCGCTCCTCTGGACCTCCGCAGCCGGAGGCTTGGCCCAGCTGGTCCCGGAGGGGTCCCTGCACTGTGGGCGTGTTCCCTTGTTCCCTGTTTACAACAAGGTCTGGGAGGGATCCCTGCATGGTGGGTGTGTTCCCTGTTCCGGTCCTCTAAAACGACACTCCCTGTTTCTTCTCTCTGCACAGCAGAGCTCATTCTGACCCCAGGACCACTTGCAAGCTCCGGCCTGTGGGCAGCCCTGCACGCGTCCCGGTACTGCGTGTGGTCTCCCCGCCCTCCAGCCAGGGCTGTCCTCAGGTGTCCCACTCCCCTGTGGACAACCAGCCCTGAGCCTACAGGTTTTACTGTGCTTTGTGCCTGCATGGAAAAGCCCCTGCTTTCCTGGGGCTCTGCCCTGGGTGACCTACTTGTCGCAGAAGCAGAATTGAGGAGTTGATTAGGGCAGTGTACCTGCGGCTTCCGCACCTGGAGGGGTAGGCGTTCCAGGCATAGCCGCAGCAAGGCCTTCTTCACAGAGCCTGGCCGAAGACGGAGGCTTTAAATCACCATCAAGTGCTGAGGAGCGGGGGGCTGGCGTCTGCTAACAGCCGCCCTGTGTTGTTCTCTGGGAAGAGCCCATGGGGCCACTTGCTGATCGGGCTGACCGTCAGCCAGGCTTGCTGACGCCTCAGCGTCATGGCCGTGTGGACCCTGTCTCTAACGGACCAGACAGAAAATGACCAGGTGTAGCCCCAAGTCTCTTAACTGCAGGTGTGTTCTGAGAGATGGCACCAGTGAGGCCCGTGGGTGGCTTTTATCAGTTACAACGTGAAAAGAAGGGGAGGGAACGTGAATGTACTGTGGGGGGAGTGCGCCGTGGGTTGAGTTGCTGCCTGCAGTGCCGACACCAAAAAGACTGACCCCTCCCCGGCTGTCCCTGGGCTTTTGCTGGTGTCTGGGCCGGGCACGGCTTCCAGTTCCCAGTGAGCGCCCGGGGGTGCCATTCCTCTCCTGGATTCTCCCGAGGCGCTGAGCACCGTGCCCCAGCCCTCCTCCCACCTCCTGTGTACCTGCCCGCCCACGTGCTCCAGCGCTGGCCCTGTGGCCGAGTGAGGACTGAACCAGATTTATTATTGACTTATTTGAAAGAGTGGCAAGCAAATAAGATAATGACAGGTTACAACCGTTCTGTCGAGGAAACACACAGGCGAACATCAGAGGGTGTGATGGGCGGGTGGGGAGCTGTTATTTTGGATCTTTTGGTGAGAGGAGCACTTTCTGAGGAGATGAGATCTGCAGGGTGAGAGACCAACAGCTCTAAGAGCAAGGGCAGGCAGGCCCGGTGCTGTGGCGCAGTAGGCTATGACTCTGCCTACAGTGCTGGAATCGCGTATGAGCACCAGTTCAAGTCCCGCTGCTCCACTTCCAATCCAGCTCTCTGCTATGATCTGAGAAAGCAGTAGAAGATGGCCCAAGTCCGTGGGCCCCTGCACCCATGTGGGAGACCTAGAAGAAGCTCCTGGCTCCTGGCTCCTGATCAGCACAGCTCTGGCCGTTGCAGCCATCTGGGGAGTGAACCAGTGGATGGAAGACCTCTCTCTTTCTCTGCCTTTGCCTCTGCCTCTCTGTAACTCTTCTTTGCAAATAAATAAACAAATCTTTAAAAAAGCAAGGGGGAAAGAGTGTGAGAGTACTTCCAAAAATTAATGGAAAGTAGAATTAATTTTAAGTTTATATTGGTACAAAAATTTTGAAATCCATGCATTGTTTTTATAACACATTCCTTTGGCCATTTTGAAGCCCCCTCATATATACAATTTGAATTTTTGCAGCAAAATAAAATTTTCCTTTAATTCCACGTTCCATGAACTTTTGACATTTCCAAGCGTTGTGGGCAGAGGACCTGAAGGCAAGACAGAGTCAGGCATGGCTGAGGTTATAGGGAGACGCGTAGCTGCAGCCTGGGAGTGACGGGGAGAAGACAGGAGAGAGGCGATGGGACAGCTAGCCGGCTCTTGCCGGGGACTGGTCTCAGTCCGTCCTGTGGAAACAAAACACCAGGACTGGTGCCTCATCACCAACAAAGCTACTCCTTACAGTTCTTCGGGCTCGGACGTCCGAGAGCAAGGCACTGGCAGGTTTCATGTGTCATCGGTGCCTTCCCACTGCGTCCTCAGTGCCGGGGGCGAGGGGGCTCTTAGGATCCGCACTGCTGGGGCCTGACCCAGGTCAGCCCTCGTGTCCTACCCACCTTCCCAAAGTCCTGCTTCTGGGCTGAGATTTCTATATATGTATTTAGGGGAACAGTGTTGCTCAGACATGGCAGGAGACCATATCGTTGGCTGGTGATTGGTAGTTAGAAGAGCAAGGGAAGTTGACTCAGAAGGCGAGATTGGGGTAGGAAATCAGAGCAGAAATAGGGTCGTGGGGAAGGCCGGGCCTCCAGGGTTCAGGGCGAGTGTGTGGATAAAGATCCAGATTTTGCGCAGATACAGGTGTTTATGTTCCTAGGGCCCTTCATAAGTAAATTCCTACAGGCCCCATCTCCTGAAAACATACGGCGCATTCTTAGGTCTTCAATCTCTGAGACACGAGACCGTGAAAGGAGCCAAGCAGCTCTCCCCACAGAAGCTGGGTGCCTGTGAATGCAGTCCCTACGATGTGCGCCTGTGGGAAAAACTTGGAGCAGCTCACCAAACAACGAAATGCTGTTACTTTTTTTTTACCACTAAATAAAGGATTTTCTTTCCTTTAAAAACCACACATGTTTAGAAGAAGCATCAAGCAATTTTGGATAATTTGCACACTGTGAGTGATTAGTAGGTGACTGGACAGGTAAAATACGATGCATGGACCCGGCTGAGCAACGTCAGTCCTATTTACCCCACAGTGTCCTAACCTCCGAGAGCTGTGGTAAACCGAGACTTGAGACTTGGGATAAGCCAGATGCTCTGTTTTCTTTTCTTTTCTTTTTTTTATGTATTCAAAAGACAGAGTTACAGAGAGAGGTAGAGCCATAGAGAGAGAGAGAGAGAGAGAGAGAGGTCTTCCATCCGCTGATTCACTCCCCAAATGACTGCAATGACCAGAACTGAGCTTATCCAAAGCCAGGAGCCAGGAGCTTCTTCCTGGTCTCCCACGCGGGTACAGGCAGTCATCTTCTACTGCTATCCCAGGCCATAGCAGAGAGCTGGATTGGAAGAGGAGCAGCTGGGACTAGAACTGGCACCCAAATGGGATGCTGGCACTACAGGCCAGGGCTTTAACTCTCTGCGCCACAGCACTGGCCCCCAGATGCTCTTTTGTTACCTGATCTTTTACATGAAATTGAAGGGAGGTTTGCGCATGTAGGGAATTAAGAGTAGAATTATGTTGCCTTTCATTAAGAGGCCAGAATGAGAAAATTGAATGCAAGGCTGTCAGTCATCAGTCGTGTTAGGAAGGAGGAAAATGTGAAGAATGATATTTATGTGATGTCTGAGAAGTCCACCAACACTGTTGCCCCAAAACCACAAGTGCTTTCATCCATGCATTGGGGTGATGTTTGCATATTGAACAGAGCTTGGCACATAGTTGGTTCTTAGTAACTGTGGAATTGATATAGGCAGGCAGACAGGATTAAATTGTTTGGATCTGTGAGCTGGGGACCATGCCTTCACCCAGCCCCCTGTGTAATCTCACACTCCTACCTGACCTCACCTGTACACTCACCTGCCAATCAGTGTACTGGAAGTGGGTAAAAGGCGTGAAGGACCCAGGCTTCCCTCTCTGTTTTCCTGCTCACACTCTGCAACTGGTGGCTGAACCTCACTGCGCGCTTTGCTCCACGTGGCTTCTGCCCTGCTCTCTGCCTGGTATGGACCCAACTTATGTTTCTAAACTTCCTTCTCCACTAAATAGAGCCCTCACTTTCCTGCGGATTTCTCTCATGCTAAATACCCTACCAAGAAATTTATCATGGAGCTTCCAAGATGTGGAGAAGGGAGGGAGCTTACTGCTCACGTCTAGGAGCAGACAGTTTTAAAAAGTGGAGAGAGTGCAGTCTCAGGGACGAGTTAGGGAGAAAATGGCAGAGGAAACTGTCGGGGAACGGGACAGCCTGGCCAGCTGTGCCCCTCCCGACATGTACAAGCACAAGAAGTTTAGTGCTGGGCTTTTTCCACCCTGCCCGTTGCTAATTGCAAGATCCTGTTTTGACTTTAATCATCCTGTTATTGCATGTTTCCCACACTTACTCTTGCTGAGTTGGTAACATGTTTTCCATGAATCATATATAAACGATTGGACGATGGGCGGGATATATAAGAGGGTTGGAGGAGGCGAAGACGGCGGGCGTTCGCGACATGTAACGCGAGTCTGCTGAAAAATAAAGTGGAAGCTGAAAAGCCGATAAACGCGTCTGGTGTCTCCGAGGTCTCGCCGGCGTTAA